GAATTAGTTTAGCGAATCAACGCGTGAGGGATCATGCACTTAAGAAAATTTAAACAACTATCACGGTTTAACTACTTATTATTTCGGGTCCGAAAAATTAGTAAATATTCTCCGGACATTCTGAAATAAGGGTGAACAGCGTTTTTCTTAAAATTATCACTGTCACGTGATAAAAAAAAAATCGGAAATTTCACGATCCGTGACTTGTTCATTGATTCGAACGCGGCACGGAGTCCTCCTTCTGTCACCCTCCGCGGTCGGAGCACGTTGCGCTCGACCACGTTGTAGTTCGTGCGCTCGCCTCTCATTGGTCAGTGTTTTTCGTTAATAACTCGTAAACCAAGCTGCAGATTGCATTTTCGCCAAGGAAAAAGATACTTCAAATGACCTCAGCTACCTCCCATTTCCCTATTACGAGACATTTTTGGGACACCCTGTATATTGTCTGCTCATATGTCCCGAGTTTAGTTTGAGAAACTCGAACGTTTCAGCATCTCGAGATAAAGAGAGTAACGGAATCCCGTCCGAATCTTTCCGACTCGTTCCGAACTTCGGGTTCTCGAGCCTCGGACATTTTTGCACACTCCTGTCTGAAACTATCCATTCTGTTAGAAAATCAAGGTTTTGTTATAGTGTAGATGTAGCTACCTAACTTTCACCGAACAGTAACCTTCTGCGGAAGATGTTACAAGCTCTGGTTTATGTATCAAATTAAAAATGTGTATATAAATTAAAGAATATCGATAATGTAATATTTTTCTGAACATTGACAACGAAACGTACTAAATATTTCTATACGGGTGTAGAATCCAGTTGCATTTTCAAATTATGTTAAGGCGCTGATTTTCAGAAAACGCTATTTGAAGAATTGTATTGGGGTGTCATTAATTATACATAAATGCAGGCTGGGTCCGTAATTATTCACGGCTGAGTTGAGCTTTCGGCTATGCCAGTCATTGGCTACGCCATCAGAACGAACAGAATTATGAGGAGCAAGCGAGATGGATACTTACGTAACAATGCAAATTCGTATAATCAGAAATCAGAACCGCCGGTATTGCAAATTAGACCAGTTTGTAATATCCCAAGATAGGATGATTTTGATGATTAATATGTTGTTCGGGGCATGGTTTTGAACAATTCTTTCTTCACACGTAATGCACGGAAATGCTTAGTTTCCGAGATATTTACGATCAACTACTACTACTATTGCATTGAATTTGCGTTTCTCGTGACGCGACGGCTACTATCGAGGAATCTATGGCCAGCTTTATGCGAGCGGTTTGCGGCAGTACTTCAGCTATGGATGAGAAAATACGTTCATAGAAAGAAAACATATTTTCTTCATATTTGTTATTCAATAGTATACAATGTAACCATGTACAGTAAATTCTCTCCCTAATTGTCGCACAGTTTATAAACAAAAGTGGACGATTTGAGAAGGAGGTACGATTATTCGAGACTTGCGGTTCGATTTTATAGTTGTTGACAATCGGCAACTATAAAACTGCCTATTTTTGTTTACAGGCTAAGGATCAATTGGTGAGAATTTATCGTATTCGGTTCATCCCTTTATCGCTGCGAGATTTCTGAAAGAAGTATTTTTGTCCATAATCATTGATCGGAGGGGAGACGAGATAAAATCTTTTAATTATAAAAATTAATTATTTAATTATCTATACATATATCCCATAATTCGGGATTGCTTCCTATTGTACTGATGAACGCGTGAGTGTCCAATGAGTCGATTTTGTTCAATGATAAAAAAAAATGATTGTACGCATTGAATGCCGATACAAATGGTACTACATATACATAATGTTGGTGTAACCGTGGCGGTACGTTTGCCGTAGCCATTTGAGTTGTGTGTGAAGCACGGAAAAAAATTCTACGTTCCGCTAAAACGCGGTTGCCCCGGCGTCAAATTGTCGCAAACCGTCCTTTTATTTAAGAAAACAGTCCTTCGCTGCTCCGACCTTTCAATATATTTGTTTTACGTATATTGCCCTTTTGTCCATTATTTTGTGAATGATTCCATTTTGTCCTCTATTTTGTCAATATGAATAACAGCGAACTATTTGGTGAAGTTTCGTATTATTAAATATTATGTCACCAGTGTGAAAAAGACCACAAAAATAGACACAACATAATGAATCTTGCCAAGTCATGTTTTAAATTACCTACTACTACGAGTCTTTTTGTTATTCAACAATATTTCGACATTTATATAACATATAACTGATATGGACTGAATATAGCTTCATGGATTTTTTAGCAGACACGTAATGTATTGAAAATAGATCGTTCTTGTGAATAAAATACAAAAATTGCATTTAAAATTCTGATCCGTTTTTTATTATCCGCAAGAATGTATGGTCATCGTATCTATGAGTGAATTTGTAAATAATTATCTTCTGTATATTGCAGAAGGTAAAGTGTTTTTGCTCGAGTGAGCCACTGTGACGATTCTCGCAACATCGAGCAACATTTTGTTTTTGTTCCATGTTTCTTTTGAAAAAAATCATCGTTTGTTGCCGAATGTTGCTCCAGGTTCCATCGTGTTACCTGTCGCCGGCGGTAAATGTTGCCGCATATTGCCCGTATTGTGGTCGAACCCATAGTTTTCGTTTCCTATTATTACCACTGATTGCAGTAAATACTGTAATTGCAAGGGACAAGTCCTCATTCTCAGTCTTCTTCGGCTTAGAGCTTGGAACAAACTGATTTGAGTGTGGATTATTTGTTGCCAGCAACAAATGTAGCCGTGACATCAAAACTTAAAATGTTCCTCGCATTATATTTCTTCAGTGTGGGTAAAATTATTCTACAAGCCATGTTGGAAACATTTTGGAACATGCAGTAACAAGAGGCGAGAAAATGTTGTTCGTTGTTGCCTCTGTGTGTACGCAGCTTAAGGATATCTGTACAGTATCATGCACTCAACAACATACAGTAGAGTTCTGATTATCCGGCACACTCGGCACTGAGATAATGCCGGATAATTGGACAATATCTGAAAAAACAAAATACTTAAAAATATATAGATATAGATATAATATATATATATATATAGATAAATATATAATACGTATGAGATATACATATATTATAATATAAATCTATAAGGATGTGCATATATAGTAGAACAGGAGGTAGTTTGAGAACTAAACAACGGTTTCTTAAACAATGTCCATATATCAGTTTGCTTCATAATTTTTGACCTTTTATAAAAAAAATTAATTTCGACGAATGTATAGATTCATTATTTCCGTAATATTATAGTGTTTATTATTCTCAGGAAATGATATAAATTTATTCAATGCATCGTCAGGCTCGCGCCAAGTGATAATAGTTACGTTATCTTTTTGTTCATTACTGTTCATTTTTTTTTAACACTTGCGGATTTATTGCACATTTATCGAAGAATAATCGGGGTAAATATGCCGGTTAAAGTGATATTTCGGATAATCGGAACACTATCTGTGTTAAAAAATCATCGAAATCATCCTATCTTGAGATATTAGATATGCAAATTATATTTTTTTCTACTTAAGTGAGCTCGTTATAAAAATCTTATCGAATGAGCCAAATTTACATAACCGAACAAAACTACTAGACTGCGGATTTTTATGTATTTAAAAATAAATAAAATTTATGAAATACAAGAATTAAGAACGTTTTGCTTTTATCCTTGTTAAAAGAAACCTTCTAGTCTACGAAATAATTTTGATCGTCATAAAATAGACTATGAAAACTGGAAGTTGCACGAAGGTCCCCAGTTTTATCTTTATTAACACAGTTATAACTAAGTTAAAATTAATACTTTATATTTTAATGGATTTGTAGGTTAGTATGGTTCGTTGGGCATTTGTTTCAACGATTAAGTTTTCAAGTCGAAGTGAACAACGTTATGCACAAAATAGTTCTAACAGTCGGCTAATTGCTTTGATTAATCCGTTTTATCAATCTAAGAGTATCGGCTAATGGTATTTATCGTCTCGTTCTACTATGCAATCGATAAGATCATAACCGGATGTGGTCCCGTAGGTCACTAATTGAATCGTTCTTCTACGAGCCTAATGCAGTTCGGCGACGTGCTCGGCAGTGTGATAAATGAATTTCACATACAGATATCTCGGTATGGATTGCAACTGATTATACTGATTAAATGGTCATACCTCGTTCTCAACGTGAAAGCTCCATTTGAACCCAGCCGCATTTTAACCGATATAATTATGTCATTTACCGCTCATTTACGTCGACAATTATTACCGTGTGGTGGTTAGAAAAAATTGCGTACCAACGGTGTCGATCAAACTGTAAAAGAATCAAATTGTGGTTGAATGCATAAAGTACATCTATTGTTCATAAAATGTTTAACCTTATTAACGTTTCATCCTTGATTCTTTTAATCAGAAAATATCGTTTAACCATTTGCACTCGACGCTGTTTCAACTCTAGATCGAAGACATTTTCTGACCGAGTATTTCCATTTGGTATAATCTATTGTATTTTGTTCATATAAAATTGGCCTATTAGTTTGTACAATATTTACTCTTTCAATATTTTTAAAAAAAAATGAACAAATTTGATTCTGTCAAAATTATTTTGAAACGTGGTATAGCAATTTTTATTGGTTCCGAAGAGTCGCCACTCGAGTATAAAGCGTTAAAGCTTTGAATGCACTTAGTCCTAAGTCCATGAAGTCGAACGATTACAACGTTATCGTCGTAAATAATTTTGTATATTGATAGAAGAGTTGAAAGACACAAGGAACAGTTGCAGTCTTTACGAAAAAACATAGCCTAAACAAAATACAGATGTTCGTATTCTCTCAGTGCGATAAGAAATGTCACGACTTATAGGATGACCTAATGTTTACGGTGCAGCAAGAAATCCATAATCTCGCGGTGTATACAAGGAAACCAGCACATTTTATGTCCCCGTTGTTAGCGGAACGAATCGAACGGTATTCTAACAACGATGTTACTGTGTTTCAGAAATAGAAATCTCAATCTAATGGACGAAGGATGCTAAAGCCTGGGCCTACGTGTGTGAACGAGGCAGCACGTGACATGCTACGCTTCCGTATCCACACAATGTAAGGATAAAGACGATCTGTGTCTCTAACTCGGACATCTCCCAAAAATTGTTCTCTGCTGCGATGAATGGACCCCAGACCGGGGCCATTCACGGTTTCTAAAAGGAATCGTAGACGGAAGTGATACGTAGAACTGATCGATATTCGATCGGTTGGCGGAGCACCGGCAGTAAAGCATGGAGAACAAAGACGAGCTCCTTTCTGCGCGGACGGAAACGAAGACATCGTCGTCCACGACGACAGCACCGAGTCCGCGGACACTACCGAGATGCGCGCGATGTCGTAACCACCGATTGCACATACCCTTGAGGGGACATAAGAGGTACTGCAAGTACCGCACCTGCAAGTGTGTGAAGTGCAAGCTGACCGAGGTCAGGCAACGGGTCATGGCGAGACAGACCATGTTGAGAAGAGTCCTGGCTCAAGACGAGAACAAGGTCAGGGCTGCTGAAGAGGTCAGTCCTCCCTTGTTCCGTAGGGGTACTTCTCATAGTCACAGTTACGATCCGCGGTTGCGAGCTAGCTGCGAGCGTAGTCCTTGCTTGCTGCAGGATAAGACGATGGTTTTCTTTAACCCTTTACTCTGCGATTTCTTTTATAGCTACATTGATTAACACTTGTTTTTTTTTGTTTGTAACGTGATACCTACTGTGATGGTCAAAATGGCCCGTTTCATACTGCTTTTTTCAAAGATGTTGAAATTTTAAGGACTCTTTCATAAGAAATGTTCTAATAATACATTTCACATATACACATTAAAAATTGTGAGAAGTCCAAATACATTTAATCTTGTTATTGTTACGAAATGATACGCGTCAGTCATATTTGAGACTTGGTTGTTTCTCGTATGACTCCATTTCTTTTCCTTCTTAGATCTTGATAACAGAAAAATCAAATTTTAGCAGATTATGTATAAAATCTTCATCATGGGTCAGACTCGTTGATGTATTGCAAGCGGTTAAATTCGTAGACTTTATATAAGTGGGCCTTAGTATGGGTTTAACCCTTATATGGTTTTGATTTGAAATGCTATTGAAGAACTTCGTACGCGTTTTCCAACGTTTGAACTAAATTGAAAGAGATCGCTTAGAGTATGTATAAAAGAATCTCATATAAAAACTGATATTGTCGGATACCGTCTTAAAGTAATCATTTTCACCGCATTAAACAGCTAGTTGTAGCCTTACAGCATGTCGGTAGAACTAGCATGTAGAATGCAAAGGGATAAATGAAATCCATCTTCTTAATACTACAGTCAGGAAGTACTTACACAGGAAATACAAAGCCGCGATGGACATAATGGTTCATGGTATCGCGAATCTGAATACTTGCGTCAATCTTCACGAAGGATGATCAAGCTGTTGTAATTTACATTTTTCGCCGGCAACTGTATTCTATAAATTGAATTGTACGGCTTTGTCACGTACAGTACAAGCAACACATGCCTACCAAAACTAAATCACTGCGTTAAATCCCTGTACTATTGGGGTTACATAATTTTCCGAGTCGCGTACTTTTTACTTTTTGTTCCCACTGTGATCTAACCACCTCTAGATATTCAAAATTTGTTAACTCCTTGCACTATAACGGGTCAAACTGGTGATGAAGATTTTATGTATATTCTACTGAATACGAACGGTACTCGTTCCTTCTAAATCGAAACAAAAGTAGATTCCATTTCATTCCTAGATTTTGATTATAACAGAATAATCAAAACACATAAGAAACAAAAGTTGTCTCGTTTTGTTAAGGAAATTATTAAGCACAAGTGCTAATCAGTTAGCTGTTGCAACTTCTTTGACAAGTGTGTAAGTTACTATAATTTATACTGTATATGTTTGATTTACATATTTTGTTTCAACAAGACACTTTTATAAATATTTTCTTTAAAATATATAATTTGATAAAGAATATCAAAGTATATATCCGCCTTAACCAGTTACAATAAATTCTCCCCAAATGTCCCTCAGCTTGATAACAAAAATAGTTAATTTGAGAAGAGGTGGTACGATTATTCGAGACTTGCGGTTCGTTTCTATAGTTGGCTCGCCGATTGGCAACAACTATAAAAACATGTTGCAAGCCTCGAATGATCGTATCTCCTCTTCCCAAATTGACCAGTTTTGTTTACAAGTTGTGGGACAATTGGAGAGAATTTACTGTAACTGTTTTTGACGAGTATACTCGCGACGAAGGAATGGTAACATTTTGTGCTATGACGAGCACGCTCGTCAAAAATACCTAACTGGTTAATGAATGTAGTAGCTGTTAATCAAAACGTAGTGCAAGGGGTTGAAATGCGAATACGCGTAGCAATTATATTACATTCCATAAAAGGTCTAAACGGTTGTCGAGCGCAGTAAGTACAGGAAACGTTAGGTCACACCTCTTTTGCACGACTTCGTTCACGTTCACTGAGGTCTCATAATTTTTTCAGCCCAACTGGGAGTATTCTAATTACGTGAACTGCTACCGGGGTAAATGACTATTACAGACTTGTTAACGAACAAGTCGTCTTTCGAAATGGTTGCGGGACTGAAAACGATGAACGCATGAATGTCCGGTTGTCATCAAATCGTTGATTTGAAATCGGCGATACCGTAATCAGCTGCGAAGAACCCCGACACCAAGCTGTGATTACTTTGTATCGAGGCACTCTTAACGTCGAGTTAACGAGTCCGTAATACAGGGCAAATTGCCGCTGTGTGTTTCCTGCGCTCGCCTCGCAACCGCGATAATTTCACAGAAGCCTCTTATGTTGCCCGGCCTGCGATCGTAATTGATCTTTTCCTAGCAGGTGGATCCACCGCCATTCGAGAGCGAGGGTGATCGACTATCCACCGTTCCTCAGCCGGCCAGAAGTTTGGAGGGTAGCTACGACAGTAGCAGCGGCGACTCGCCAATCAGCAATCACGGCGGCAACGGTGCGCACACCGCCCTGGCCGATGTCATCACCATTCCAACTTCCAGGAACGTGCCCTCCTCGCATCCCCACACTGGATCATCCAGTCATTTGCCGCAGTGCCAGTTCGGTGAGCGACAATTTACGCTTCTCTTTACGTTTTTCTTTTCCTTTTGCATACTTCGCATCTAAAACTTTTTGAACGCGGAGTTGCTCAAAACTTTGGCAAGACTTTGGCTACTAATGATTGTTATTTTTAGACCGTGGCTCTTAGGCATGCATAAAAATACATAAAAGCCGCAGTCTGACGATAATTTTCATGTTTCTCTTACCCTTTTCAAGAGACTGTAAAATCAATTTTAACGTTAGATATAACAGCACAAAAAACAGCTGTTTTATATTAGTTTATNACACCAAGCTGTGATTACTTTGTATCGAGGCACTCTTAACGTCGAGTTAACGAGTCCGTAATACAGGGCAAATTGCCGCTGTGTGTTTCCTGCGCTCGCCTCGCAACCGCGATAATTTCACAGAAGCCTCTTATGTTGCCCGGCCTGCGATCGTAATTGATCTTTTCCTAGCAGGTGGATCCACCGCCATTCGAGAGCGAGGGTGATCGACTATCCACCGTTCCTCAGCCGGCCAGAAGTTTGGAGGGTAGCTACGACAGTAGCAGCGGCGACTCGCCAATCAGCAATCACGGCGGCAACGGTGCGCACACCGCCCTGGCCGATGTCATCACCATTCCAACTTCCAGGAACGTGCCCTCCTCGCATCCCCACACTGGATCATCCAGTCATTTGCCGCAGTGCCAGTTCGGTGAGCGACAATTTACGCTTCTCTTTACGTTTTTCTTTTCCTTTTGCATACTTCGCATCTAAAACTTTTTGAACGCGGAGTTGCTCAAAACTTTGGCAAGACTTTGGCTACTAATGATTGTTATTTTTAGACCGTGGCTCTTAGGCATGCATAAAAATACATAAAAGCCGCAGTCTGACGATAATTTTCATGTTTCTCTTACCCTTTTCAAGAGACTGTAAAATCAATTTTAACGTTAGATATAACAGCACAAAAAACAGCTGTTTTATATTAGTTTATAAAAGTAACAATAAGACATTTATTCTGATTTTTAATAAGTGTTATTGCAACGTTTGCCGTAAGTAACATATAAATTGATTAAATAATTCATAAATGTATCTTTACGATATGAATTATCATAAATGAAAAAATTAGTGATTCGTCGTTTTGACGGGTTCCGTAAATCTAGCGTTAACAACAAATTTGCATTATAAATATAGATTGTAAGTATTACTCGCAATTTTCTAAAATTTCTGCCAAGTTTAGCGGAAACTATTTTTAACCACTGACAGATTTCAGTGTTTTGTAGAGGTTTAGCAAATATGTTTGAAAATATTTAACGCTATTCTGTGTCAAATTTTTTCCACCGTGAAACATAGTTCTGAAACTGTCCACGTTATTGTCTCCTCTTACTACCTATGTAATCTTCTTTTTCGGGGTTTGATCGGTGTCCGTCGATAAATATTGGCCTCTCCCGGATCACAACATATAACTTGCCAATAAAAATTAAAGACCTCTATTAGCGCTGTGCGAGCGGCATTGAATCGTGGCTGTTTAATATGCATAATACCCGTCGCCCGTTTACCGCGCTGCACCTGCTTGTTGATGAATATACATGTAATGTGTCTGTATGCACACGTTGAAAACCAAGATTGCCTACCTGTTGCTTGCTCCGATTCCTAGTCATCTTCCTCCTTGAACGAAACTCAACTCCGTCTGCGAAAGCATCATCATTCTCTAACAACGTGCATGCGGATACTGTTCATTGTTCAGGATGGAAAATACGATCGTGACAGAGACATCGAGACCTCGATTTTGCAAGCGCAAAACTGCGCTGAGTGTCCAGTATCTCATGCGTTATTCTAAGCTCTCCAGACTTAGCCGAGGGTGCATTTATTAAATCGCTGCCAATTATTCTTCTTCGCTCGTTAGTTCTTTCGCAGTGGTTTACCATGATGTCTTAATTGTATAGAATCTGGGAATCACGATTTGAATATGTTGAGCTATTTTTGCTCAGGTTTGGTAACTATTCCGGCTTTTCTAAGCTCATTTATTACTTTCTAGGTTTAACTCGTTAACTATTTCTTTGGGATGAAATTTTCATTTTTGGCACAGTTAATAATATTTTTTAATTAGAGCGTATCAAAACAAACCTTTTCTTCTCCGAAAATTCCTACGATTTACCACGGCATTAATTTTCTTCTCGAGAACCATTTAATTTTTCTTAATCGAAACCATTAATTGTGGCGAAGCGATCTTTTATTTTTTAATTGCGTCCTTCGCATTTATTTCACGTAATGTCCATCACTGCTAAAGTTTTTGCTATTTAAATATTTTCACGTGCATAACGATTTTAAAATTGCATTCGACTGTACGTTCTATCTGTGGGTGCTTATTGTGCGGACTGGCAATCGACAATCCGCTAAAGTGAAATCATTATGAATGAAATTATAATCACCAGATAACTAGACCTCCCTTGTCGCAGACGCTAAAACAAAGACCAGCATTCACTCGTTCTAATCAGAAGATTATCATAAATGCATGCATGCTCCTTCAAACCGACGCATCCTATGCAATTATCATACAAAATGTTATTTGACGAAGTCCGGTTAATGAAAGATCATCATTCTCTCGAGGAGACAATCGAACCGCTGTCTTCGATCTTCTTGGATCCAACGTTTAGTATTCGTTGCCTATAATGCTTGAGATTCACGTTTTCAAATAACGTAAGGCTATATCTTATGAATAATTTCTGTCATTGGATCATTAACACGTTCCGTGCCGAGCTTTTTTTACTCGAATCTTCACACTTTGATATTTTACTAAAACTTGATGTATTACGTGCAATTATTAATTCTCGTACACATAACAACGTAACAAAAACTTATCAACGCCCATTCTTGCGGTGGAAATTGATTCTTCGGTTCTAAATTTCTTGTAAACAATTTGTTCAGTTCACTAAGTAAACATGCAAGCGTGTACCATCGATGGTACACGTGGCACGGAACGTGTTAACAAATGTTTTATTCAGGATAATAAGCGAGAATAAAAGTGATAAAAATATGTTAACACGTTGAATGCCACGGGGGTCACCTGTGACCGGCACTTAACTTGGCGGTGACGCCATGGGGGCCACCGGTGACCGGCGCGCACATATTGATAGAAATATATATAATTTAAAACAAATGTCAATATCTACAATTTTGTATTATTACCATCGTCGATTCAAACAGTGACCCCTGTCGCAATTAACATGTCAAACATGGTTATACACTGTAACTTATCTATTGCAGATAATATTTCAACATTATATGTATCGCATAAAAGAAAATTCATCGTGGCGTCACGGACAATTTCTGTAAAACCGGCGTGGCATTCAACGTGTTAAAATTGAAGATCGGCGGGAACTCGATACTGTCGGGTCAGTTTTGCCGGAATTTTTGTCGGAAATATTAGGATTCTAAGAATTTTTTCTTCTCGAAAACTTCGGGAATTCGAAAAAATAAATATTTTATAGTTTTATTTATAAACATCTATATATATTTGATGCGTTATTTCCATTCCATTTTACAGATTTGATCATTTTCTTTCAATAAACTGGATAAGTCTTCACAATTTTCGAAAACATTAATGCTTTTGTGGATTTCGATAGTTTCGAATGTTTTAAAGAAATCTGCACATAATCGAGAATCCCGAAATGTTTGGATACTCTACCTGGCTTGATTATATTGAACATTCCCCCTAAAATAATTTAGCGAAGTATGCTTCCGTTATTATTCGTATTATTCTGTGTTACTAGAATTTTGAGAAGTCTTTGGCTACGTCATTTCCAAAAAAAAAAAATATATATATAAAAAATCGTATAAAATGATCAATTGTAGTCCTCGAGGTTTAGATCATATTTGCAGAGCCTTAATGATTACTAAAAATATTTCATATCGAACCATAATACTCTATAACTTAGTCTATAACTTTTCTTCCAAAAAAATGTCACGCGATATTAGGAGTAGAAGGGTTAAACTAAAGCGGCACTAGTGAATTTTTCGAGATACCAGGCGAGGAAAATGAAGCACATAAGAAGGTAAATACGATACCGTGATATAAGTTCAGGAAGTTTCAGACTATTCTCAGGGACACGATTCAGGGCAGATTTGGATAGTCGGTGGCTCTAATTTGAGCGAAAGCCTCGGAACGCCCGGTATAACGGAGCGAATGTACTTATAACGTCGTTCACAGTGATCCTAACGAAATTCAAGCCACTCTTTCACTTGACAACCCGACCGAATGTTAACCCTGGTTTTACGAGCGTCCCCATTGGCCAGCGCGTCATTCGAACCCGGCTAATATAATACGAACTTATAACCAAAGCCGAAACCTAGGAGCTCGCTCTCTTGCTTTTATGACCTGGCTCGTTTTTAAAAGTTATCGTTATTTTGCTCGCTTTCGGATGAAATAGTTTGTTCACGGACGTAAACTGTTCGAAGGAGGCTAAAGTTCTGTGCGCGGGCTAACCACTAAAAGTTGAATCGACGCACACCGGCCCTTCCCCCTCCCTCCCACCGGCCGGTTCATTTGGTCCAGGGGCTCTCTCGCCGAGTTTCCTGACAATTTCCCACCGGGATGTCGTACGAACGATGCTAAAAATTTTTACGATCACCGTACTGAATTGTCTCCTTTCATTGTTGTATTTTCATTGTTACTCGTTCATCCGCAAATTTGGAAGGGACCGATGACTGATCTCTCTCTTCGCTCGTAAAGTCTGGTTCACGCTCGTTTGCCCGAGTACTTGCACGCTCGGGCTTTCGGTAAGGGTTCTATTGAATCAGAAACTATGACAGTCAGGTTTAACTGCGTCGATCGTTCGATAATTCTTGTTATCGCCGAAAGACTAATTCCATAGCGAACTCTCAGAATCATTTTATGGCTACGCGTATAAATATTTTCTGCGTTTTTCAGTTCTGCGAAAATAATGAAGCACGATGGCACGAAAATGCACGTTCTTGTTGGCCAGTGTCAAATCAACACGGACATTACAAAAAAAGTTTAATGTAATCCAGTGAACACCTCTTTTACATACGATAAAATCTCAGCTTTTATGGTCGCAGCTGCTGATAAGTGACCAGTTTGTCTTCGGCTAAAGGGGTTCTGCATTAAGAACGCTACAAAAATTTTCTTAAATAAGACAATGTGTATGTGAGATGTCAAAGATTTATTTTTATCAGTTTGTTCAATGCCATTAATGATGGGATACAGAATCGTTCGAATTCCACCACGGCTACGTTTGCAGCAGTGGATCCGTTGAAACCAATATTCCGAGACTTTTTCACGCAAATCAGCTCAAATATCCCAAATGGTGGCTTCGATGTTGTTTCTCAAGTGTCGCCCAAATTTTGTGTATTGTTGGTATAAATCAAAGAAGAAGAAATAAAAAAAATTTTGTTCACAAGTCGTACGATCTACGGGATCGAGCGGTATACTTATGATAATCATAAATTAGACGAAGTGCACGCAAAGTTGTTGCAACGTGACGGGAACTCTGATGGTAAATTTGAATAATTTGTAAACGTTGTACGGGTATGTATATTATCATGATTAAATGCCACATCGAACGTAACAAATAAAAATCTGAAAAGAAATAGACCAAAATAACAAATACATGTATACAAGCGCAATTAAAACACGTAGCGTGCCTACTGAAAATAGCCAAATAGCGTTTTTATAGTCTCTATAACGAATCTGAA